GGAAAGGGAGTAATGGCCAGCTGAGGAGGAGAGATGCGGCTCTCCTCGACCCTGCTGGCGGTCTCCCCCCTCATCACCACCTCTATGGGGTGGCTTAGCCCCAAAACCAGCCAGCTCGGGGTGCTCCAGCAGCGAGCCCAAACAAAAACCGTGCACGATCGCGGATTTCTGTCTGTCGCTGAAGCCCTTCAAACTGGAAGTCCACTAGTTATGATTGTTCATATATTGATATGTTGAACATATATTGATATGTTCATATATTGAAGCCTAACTTTTGTCTTCTTTTCAAAACTTTTTCAGAAGAAGCTAATTTTAATTTTAATTTAATGTTTTAATTTAACTTAGTTAAGAAAAAATATTTTTAAATCTAAAATTTAATTTGAATTTACAGTCACAGACCAGCAATAAAAGCATTAACCCAGTAGCTATGATAAAAGTTTTTTTACCCTCTCATATAATTTGTAAAATGAAAATATCAGGCTGGCACTTAGTTGTTTACTGAAGCAAACTCAACTACACTTGGTTCACTGAATAACAATAATTTTCCTGTATCTAGAAAGTTAATGGCTGAGTGTATCATTGTATCATGTTCAGTTGTATATTCTTGGTATTAAGCCATTTCATGTATTGTGTTACAGGTAGTTTGGCTTAGAAAATAAGACTACTTTATCTGTAATAGACAAGAGCAATTGCTTTTTAAATACTCTGATAAATGTTTATATAAAACAGTCCATAAAGTATATGGAAACTAGTTTGTTTTTCACAAAATCCTTGATAAATGCTATTGCTTTTGCAATAATCCTCAGAATTTCTCAAATAATCATGCGACATCATGATCTTCATGAATAATTATTACTCGTGAATATAATTATTTGTATATGAGAAGCTGATTTCATGTTCAATTTGTTCAGAAATATACTGAAAACATAATAATTAAGTGTGAAATATGATAAATAATGTCAGATTCTCACTTTAGTATCACTCAGTATTAAGGGTCATTGGTTCTGCTATTTTGGTACTGAACACAATACAGATAACACATTAGTTTCCAAACTGATCCCCATTAATGTTCCTTTTGTTGCTTGAGCTAAAGTAAGAGATTTAAATAGCCCAAGTTAAGGATTTTTTTTCTTTAACTGATACTGCACTTGTCATTCAGGAGTTCAGGAAAGTAATATACAACAGTATATTTTGCAGTTTGCTTCTCAACAACGACTTTGTCAGGTAGGTTATATTGAGAAAGGGGGACATTTCCAACTAAACATTCATGGTTATATATTTTCATTTCAAAATTCTCTTGATTATTTTTTCCCAAGTTCATTAAATATGCTGAGAAATAGTGAAGGTACAAATAGTATAGAGTGATCACTGCTTTCTCAGTTATTATTTTCATATATATATATTTCTTAAGTTTTCGCGGGTACTTACATGTATGGCATTCAGCTTTGTTCAGGTATTTTCCCACGTCATTGTAGTTGTGCTTTTAAA